CCCCAGGCAGCGTAGGCTCCCAAATGCCACGTCTGGCACAGGCAGGAAAGCAAACGGGCTGCACCCGGGCAGTCGATCCCGCCGTGCGAGGCAGCCCAGCGCAATTCCAGCGCCGTGGCGCCAGGTTCCTGCTGCCCGGTGCCCTGGCGAGGCCTGATGGCATCCGAAGGAGCAGAGCTGCTCCCGCTGCAGGATGTCGAGCAGGTGGCTGCTTCGGAAGCATGTTTCTTGCCTTCCAAAGCTGCTGGCCCCGGAGGGGGAAGGGGAAGCCAAGTGCATGGAAGCAGGTAGATCAGGAAAGTAGGAATGTGGGGTCGAATAGAAGCAATTTCCCCGGTGGTGGCCAAAATAGCCAGTGGCGGCCGTTTGAATTCAGAGTTAGGCCAACTTTTCTGTCGTTGACGTCGTGGGATCGTCAAACTGGAAGGGAGGTTGAGAGGTCGTTGAGTCCCGTCCCCGCCCGCACGGCAGGCAAAGGGCTATCTGGCCCCCCCGACAGGTGTCTGTCAAACCTGCTGTTAAAACTCCCCAGCGATGGAGATTCCACAACCCCCCGGGCGATTCCTCGCTCTGCAGGAGGAGCGGACGTTATCGTAAGGAATGAAACGTGTTGTCTTAAGGACTGGCAAAGTAACTAGGTCAGGGAGGTAATTCAGCCTCTTCGCTGAAAGCCCACAGCTGCACCCGCACCTTCAGAAACTTCAGCCAGCCACCTTCTCGGAGTCTGGGGCCGTGCTTTCCTGCGCACGCCTGGGTGGTCGTGCACAGGCGTGCATGCACGCTCACACGTAGTGCTTCCGGGATGTGAACATCTCTGCTGCTTTTGCCGTGTTACACTAAGGCATCTCCCCCCTCGGGTGTTCTGAGGCTGATGGAGAGGCGCTGCCTGACCCCTGGCCCCTAGAGAACTGGCAGAAAGCCAAAGGGAGGCCGAGTGGGCCACGTTGGTGCGTGTGGCTTAGTTTCCAGCCGAACCAAAGCAGGAGAAGAGCGACTGAGGCAGGGAAAGGGGGAGACTCGACACCAGCGGGAGCTGAGAAGAGACTCAGCCGGGAGCCCGGTGGAAAGGGAGCGCTGGTTTGTGTCTCTGACGTAGGACGTGCACGCTTTCTGAAAAGCCAGCCGATCCCAGGCAGGCCTGCGAGTCTGCTCCCGCGGTCTCCAGAGCACGAGGGGCCAGGTTAAGCCAGGGGCTGGAAGCCATTCGCCCTTGGTCGCTGTCCAGAAGCGTCTCGCCCTGGTGCCAAGCCGTGTCCCGAGGAGGATCACGAGGGGGCCGTTGGCAGCCCGGCGAGCTCACGGAGCGGCGCGTTTGGCTTTGAGGGAAACGCTGGGAAAGCTGGGACGGCTCAGAGCAGCAGGTGGGTCTGAGCACGCTCCAGCCCTGGCAGGATTCCACCAACGGCCCCGCGTTGGTCCACGGGCTGAGCCGACGCCCCCCTTCTCCTCGGGGCGCGGGGCAGGAGTCAGCCCTTGGCCTCTCCTCCTCAGCCTGTGTCCTGGCACGAGGGCCCCCGCGCGCCTTCTCCTGCGAGGGGCCCCCGGCAGGCCACGGGGTCGCCCCTGGAGCCCGGCGTTACTCCGAGAGAGGCGGGAGGCAAAGCCTGGCCCTCGTCAGTTTGGTGTGGGGGATGGGTGAGATCTTGGCCATGCTGCCAGGCCTGGCAAACGCCCGGCGATTTCAAGGGGTGCAGGTTTGCACTCCTGGTCTGTCACACACACCAGTTCGTGGCCAGGCCGGGGCCGCTCTGAGCCTCAATCCAGCCAGGCAGGTTCCACGCTCGCTCGCCTGCCTCGCTGCCCCGCCCCGGCCGCACCCTCTGAGTTGTGATGGTTTTGGTTAGTTTATGAACCCCCGGGCGTTAGTTAATCACAGGGGCTTAGGCCCTCGGCAGGCTGGTTCCTTGGCAGACAGGCGCTCTCAGGCGCTCCCTGCGGGGGCCCAATCCCACAGCCCGTCTCAGTGACGACACCGACCGAGAGGCGAACCGAAAACAACAGAACGTCCCCTCCAGGCACCATTTGGGTGCCATAAAACAAGGCAGAACAGTGATCAGAGGGGTGGCCGTGTGAGGCTGAATCCGCAAAAGCGGCGAGGAGTCCTCTGGCAGTGAGCAGCCCCCAGCCCTGCCTCTGGGTGTG